TACATTTTCGACTATGAGGCTTAAAACAAGTTTTACGCTTAGGTGCTTACTGATGATAGAGGCAGTAAGCAACTTCGAAACGTCGGTAAATTTATACCAGAATATACGGCGCAACATCTTAGACAGCCTCCAGTGCTTCTGAGAAACAAAATAATGGTTAACACGCAGTTAAATGAAGACTCTCGTCTCCAGCCGCTGGAGATTACAAGGGGCGTCTGGACAGTCAAGCAAACAGCAGGTGTCCCCCGCCTTCTGGCTAACATGACACTAATCTTGTTGGTTGGTTCGGACAGCAAACCACTGCCATTACAGACATCTGGTTCAAGCTCGGTGCCATTTCCATGACACCACCTGTACGTATGACGTGCTAAAGTCCACGTGTCTAGAAAGGCTGAAAGTCCTGCCCAGGTGAAAATCTGGCCTTGAGAATCTTGAATCCCTTTTCAGAGCCAGAACGCTCAATACATCATAGTGTGAATCTCCTTACAGATCAGGTCTGCGTCATCTGTTTAGTGCTCACGACTGTACCTTGAAAAGGGACATAGCGGGAGGGGGACAAATATGTTAACAGAGGGGCATACTCCACGCATGGAGACGATGAAAATGCTTACAAAATTCTGGATGGGAAGCCTGAAGAAAGAGATTACTTGGGAAGATTTAGACGTAGGTGGGAGGATCTTAAGGAAAACAGGGAGGGTGTGGACTGGATTCATATGGCTTAGGATGTGAGCGACTACTAACTACTTAAGAAAAACTCTGATTCATGGAGTCTGTTTACAGTCTCCTTTCCTTATCTTATCATCAAGAATCCGTTATCTGTAGCACACATTTCTTCGTCTACTTGGACTTTCCAGAACCACTTTTCTCTCACAGAAATTTGTAACCGAAAGACAATGCACAAGAATACAGTGTTACGGCCTATTTACAAAGGTTCATCACCGAATTAACCAAAGCCCTCCACCGTCCCCTGTCCAAGGCCCACAAAATCCAGTCACCTTCCAAATCACAAATCCTTTTTCAATTTCCAAAGAGTCCGCCCTGTTCCGACTTTAACTTTTTTCGTAATAATAGTTTTTATGGTGAAAGGCTGTTAGCCTCACGCCCAACCCCCAAGCTGGAGGACCACCCCTCGCCGGCTGTCCGCGACTGCTTATTCAATATATTCGCAGCCAACCTCCATAACTGGAAGCTGTTCCTCTATCCGCAACCCGAGGACGCGTTTATTTACACGGTCATCAAACCAATGGTCAACTAGGATTTACGAATTGTGTTACACATAAACACCAAACTAAGAAGTAACCTTTGACCTTTAAAGGAAGACATATAATCGAAATAACGTTTATCTATTCTGTTCCTACAGAGAAATTTCGACAATAGCAACGCAGACTAAATTATAGAAGGCAGAAGGCGAAGTGGGTTTCGAATAAGGGAGAAAGTCAAAGGCTGGACGATGAACGGGTAACATCTTTAAGAGCACTGCTGGTATTTAACGTTTACGAAAAGCTCGATTATTCATTCAGGGTACCAAATAAGACGCACAAAGGGATAGTGGGCAACACTCCGTGTTACTAAAAGTTACACAGGTGGTACACATAGTTACCACCGCCCTGTAAATCACTGTAAATCTTACTGTGGTAAAATTCTGATGACACGTCGTTATATTACAAATGTCAATCTGCCATTTCTGAATTTTATGTTGTACACTGATCCTGTTCAGTTCAAAACGGTCATACCTGCTTCGATGACCGCCCACACACCCTCCTATCTGAAAGGACCTGTTTCAACGGGCATAAAGCGGCCGAAGCATGAACCTAGCCTCTCATTTTCATCTAATGCCAAGATTAACAATGCGTCATCACATGAGAAAAATTCGCTTTACTTAAAATATGCCGGAGGAACATAGGAAAATGCTTTGTAGAGGTCGGGAGGGCAGGAACAAGTCAAATGGTGATTTGACTTATCTGGGGCGGTATTAAATTCCAAAAGCCATTTCTGTACCATACCGTAACGGTGTATGGCGTCGATAGACGGAGACGAGTTGTTTCATGCTCCAGTCGTCTTTAACCCCAGGGCCTTCAAGAAGTACAATAGCCCCCCACAACTACCCTGCGCGGTTTCGAACACTGACCCGTGATTTGTTAATTTATGAAGCATTCCACTTTAAAATTGCCTTGCTTTTCGTATTTAACACGTCACGCATCTGAAGCACGTGTTTCATCGAAATAGAATTTAAAACTTCAAGAAAACACGTCTCCAAGACAATGAATATTCAACTGGTTAATGCTATTTCGGAAAATAATCACATTTTATTCTGAGAATCACACGAAACATGTAAACACACCGTGTGCAGAATGCAGACTCGTCGATTGTTAAAGCAAAGTTACCACTGGGCTTTAAAAGATCAGAACACATTTGTAGCTACAAAACCAAAAAACAGAGCGATGAATCCCGTTATCAAAATTCGTGTACTTCCCTAAGCTTAGAAATGTATTTTATTTTCTTTGTATATCACAAGTGACTGCCATCAAATCAGAAGCACATGGCATACCCTTTAATTTACATGCAAAATAAAGTACCCTATTATTTGTTTACACAACATTTCATTAGTATGACACCGGGTCTTGCAAACCCAAGTTTGACATCTTCCTGGTGAATACTAATGAAATGTACTCACAGTTACGAAACGGTAGATCTCCCTGCAATCTCGTGAGTGTAATATTTTAGCTGTATTCCATTCTTCCAACATCAATATCCTTACATCTACGCTCAAAGCCCCAAAGTAATCTTTTTTCCAGCTACCCCGACCTTATTTCTCATCCCCACCCCGAACATTTTTCATCACGTGACAATCACTGTTTTGTGGGACGTCACGCCTGTGACAGAAACTAACCGACGTTTCAAACATGTTTACTGCCTCCATCAACAGGGCGATTTCTACCAGTCTGCACGTCGCAATACTCCAGACAACATTCATCTCCTTACTTCCTGGCCGTGAGAACCTGAAATCTGACCAGAAGATCACAAGTATGTTCTGTATCGGCATATTTCCTCAGCTGTGTGACGCGGGATGTGGAATGAAGCGTTCTCATCTGTGAATGAAGCTAGGAATCAGCAGGTACGTCCTTGAGCGGGGCCGAGACAAAGAAACAATCAGTCAGGTTCATCGCATTACGAGCTGTTTACTTTCTCTACCAAGTTACCAAGGCAAGATCTCCAGCTGGCGAAGCTGGACAGAAATCTTACACAATACACTGTTTAGTAATTATGTTTGCCGACAAAAACACGTTTCTGATTAGCTAAATTTAACACAAGTTTCAGCCATTCGTTTTATGACTACTGAATGATGAGGATTTCAACATGTTAATCGCCAAATAGACCGAAACATTGCGTGAAAAACTGATTTAATCATAAACATGAGATGTTAGACAGTAATTATAAATGCTTGGTCATAGAACAATACTTTTTACAACACGGCTTGAACCAAACTCTGTGTCACGTCCGGCAACTAAAAGATACCTGTTATTTTAACAAACCTAAAAGAAGAAAGAACAATGCTATTTTACAAAGCGTATTTAAAACTATTTTTTCAACCGGCCTGCTAAACAACTTTAAACAATCAATAATTATTAATTGTTCTAACTGTAACATTTTTATTAGACCTGGGATAATTTAGCATCTTCCAAATTCACATAGGCGTATGAGACGTGTAGGCAAACATCCTTACTCTTAATCTCTGCCCTAATTGGCTTTACGTAAAGGCCTTAAAACAGTGGAGAGCCTCAGTATCCTATAAGTACGAAGCTCGGTAAGCTTCATAGCTGATCTAGACAGAAAGGCGAACTGAAAACATCAAAACGAAATCCATACCCAGCCATCAAATGCATCTCTACCGGCTGGGAAACTACAAGCAGTGAATAAATTATGTTCAGCAATGTATTCCACTGTAGGTTTACTGTAGAGTTGACACGGTAATCCAATTTGTCTTCCGACATATAGACGCGTTATGTTGCCGTTGCAACTAATGTTTCAACCAAGAAGAGCGAATATTCAATAATTTCAATCTTCCTTTGTCTTGCGTGGAGACTTCTACTTAGCTTTTTAAAGCCGAGTGGAGACCAGTTGCTCTGACAATCAAACACACTCCATTTTGCATTTCTCGGTTTTGTATAATTCTCAGAATAATCAGCTGTTATTTCCTAAAGTATTACCAGCTGACCTTCGCAATGGCGAACTGCAGTACTTACAATTCTTAAATATTATCTAGACGAGCTTCGTGTTTCAAAGGGCTATTTAATGTGTCAGACATCCTATATGGTTACTTGTATGGGGGATCAGCTTCCATATAAATCAGAATTGTAGGTCGTACAAAATAAAACTTAACGGATAATTCATAAAAAAAATATCTGAAGTCTATATAAGGCTTTAAAATTCCTACTTCACAAGGAAGTAAAAGATACATACGTCACACAGTTTCAAGGAAACGTAAAGCAAATGTCGAATGTATTTAGTTGTGACAGTAGTTATACATCTGGCTGGCCTCCACAGCTGTTTCGTCAGGGGGCATCTCGTTGGGCAACACTGTCCCAGAAGCTTTGGCAACACTGGGATGAACAAAGGCCTCAAAAGCCTTCTTGCTGTCTCTTTCTCTCATCCTCCGGATCCCCTTCTAGCTCTCCTTTTCCACTAAACCTCATCTTTCCCCCCTCACCAAAACGACGAACTTGATCAGAACCATGCTAGGGAGACTCCACCCCAAATGCGATACGAGGTCTTTACGAATACCCTTCAGAAGGCTTCTCTTCTTTACCAGACCCAGTCCCCTTATTTTTTTTTAATGCGTCAGAAGCAAGTTTTGGGGCCAGCCGGCGGTAACATAAGGCAGACAAAGAACCACAGCTAACGGCGAGCTATGTATTGCTCTGGTGACGATTAAAAACACCAAAAAAGTACACAAAACATCACAGAACAGTTCGCCACTTCAAACAGAATATAATATTTACCTGGTCTCCATGTTAGCAGTGAAGATGTGTAGGTGTAAGAGAGTTGCGGGCGGATAGACTGTCCAGAAACCAACGACATGCGGGCAGAAGCAGTAATAACAAGTTGCTGGCGGCCACCCCCAGCGAGCCGAAGACTGAGCACCAGACGGTGTCTGAGGTTGTGCAGACGGCGATAACTTTGGTAACCAGTACACAGTACAAGAGCCTGCTGGCATGACTCGACACACTCACAAACCGGCCATCAGCCTGCCTGCTTGTCTGTCCCGCTCGACACTCCCGCCCGTCCCTAACCGCACACTGCCAGACAGTGGCAGCGCTCAGCAACGAAAGTTGGTATTGGACCTTGGGAACCCCACCGGGAGCTGACGGGCCAATAGAAACGCTCATAACATAACAGATGAACATGTTTGAGTCGCGCGCCGGTGTCGGACTGACACACTCCCCGAAAGTCTACCTCTGATTGGCTGAAAGACCCCGCGTAATGATTAGAGCCAATAGTAAGTATTGATCCATTCGCCGTGCTGTTCTGTGCATTCATTCTCAGAGGGTGAAGCTTCATGTCACTAGGGGAGTTTGTGATACGGGGTACAAATGAACATAGACGGAATGGTTGTTTAGAGGGGTGGGGTTATATGCAAATGAGATTGTGATGAAGCACAACAAAGGGTTTTCCCATAAAAAAATTTAAATCACACTTATTCAGTCACTGAAACATTTGAACATCGATATGTAAAGCCGTTTTTAAACTACTAAATACAAACGACATTCGGAAAATTAATTTCTCCCACATAATACTTCTACGTATATCAGAATAATCACCTATACACACGACATAAATTACACAGCGAATGGCCGAATCGCTTAATTAAACATAATTTACAATGAGAAAGTCTTCTGGAAACTAATGTTCGTAGCTACAAAAGCAGAAGTCAGCAAATTGTTTACAAGTGGAAAGCAAAAGAGAAACGTTTACTAGAGGGCAGTGCATAAAGTTAACGCTTTTCCCGGTGTGGTGAACTTAACCCTTTGAAAGCGTGACTCATCTAAATTGTATTTTAGGTTTCAATCCGTACCTCAAAGAAAACACAACTATTCACAACTGTAAACATCAATTGTTTAATACTGTTAAAGAAAATAATCCCTGTTTATTCTGAGAATCGTATGAAACACATAAATACAAAATAAACATCACTGACGTTAAGCAGATATTACATACAAGCAAACAATGGGTTTAAAGGCTTAAAATAATTTTTTTCTGGTAAGCATTTTTTTTTATCTGTAACAAGAATTTCAAAAATCTTAGTTCCAACAGATGTGAGATTTATTATTACTTTCCTGTCACAGAAATTACTTTAACGTTTAGGAAAAGCAATGAGAATCTTTAAGAGCATGGATTATCAGACGGCATTACATGGTGCTTCCATAACTGCCATGACAGGGTTACCAAATTAATATCCTTTATCCTACAAAAATAATTATGCACGCTCGCTATTTGATGCGGACATTTTATTTGTCATGGTGAATATAAACGATTAATTCTATGACATATTAAATTAAAAGAATTGAAATGAAAATTGTAAATAAACAGCTCAAAAGGAAATACTTAATTTCCCCATATTATTAATAATTCATTTTGTATGAAATGCAATCCGTTAGAAACTGCGGAGGTGACCGACCGTGTAGCCTTTAACAATATCCAATAAAGACTAATCAGCTTACTGACACCAAAACTGTTTGTATAAATCCTCTGTTCCAGCAACATGACACTGCTACTTCCTGACGACACCCTGTTTTTATAGTTTTCATTTTTACACATGGGATTTCTAGAATTAAATCCTGAAACCCCAAAACTTTAAGCTGCTTCGTTAAATTTTGAACGAAGATGGCAGTCTTCTGGACGTTTACTAACGTTTCAAACGTCCTTTTTGCCTACATGGAGGCAGCAAGGATGTTGGTAAACCTACCTGACTCAGCGGGGCTACAACCCAGAAGCCAGCCATCTTCGAATTCACTGCCGTGGGAACCTCAAATCCAAATTTTGAACTGCTCACAATCCTTCATTTATTTACTTTTTTCTTGAGTAATCATAATAAGTTATTCCATAGATTTCCGTAGGCTTCGCAGATTTCTAGACAATCCAATATGTGTTTATTGTTCCATTTTTGCACACTCATTCTTAAAAGACAAAAATATTACATTTCCAGGAGCCAAACAGCAGAGAACTTTAATTCCTTGCTAGAACATCTAGGCTTATGATAAGGAATAAAACGGTAACAAGCGGAGATGAGGAACATTGGAAACGTCCGGTCTGGTCGCATGAGACTATGGCTCAGTCGTGGCCAACACGTAAAACGTACGTATACCACACGGCTAAAAAAAAAAAAAAAAAAAAAAAAAGATTTCCAACAAACCAACAGCTGTTTCTTGTATACTAATACACGCGTCAGCGAGAGGGAAAAATCATATGATGTGATACGAAACATACGCTATCTCTTCCTCCCACTCTATTTTCTTGACAAAAGTCTCTCTCTCTCTCTCTCTCTCTCTCCCTCCCCACCCTCTGGATCAAATAGAAAAAAACCGAATCACAAAACCACGTTATCATTGTTTCATACCATGCAAATCATGTAAACTCTCGCCGATATAGTCCAATGTCTCGTGGTTGGCAAAAAAAGTGCAACTCTTTGAAACCAAAGCTCATTTAAATAATATTTAAAAATTCAGCCCGTACCGCAAAGAAAACATAACACTTTACAATTACAAAGATCAATGGTTGTTTAAGAAAATAATCCTTGTGTTCTCTGAGAGTCATACGATAACCATACATACAGTATATGAACAAAATTCAAAGTTATTAATTATTAACGCAAGTGGAATAGTGTATAGTTAACATTGCAATTAAAAGGTTAAGTCAATACACATTCCGAATAGTTTAAGCCCTTCTTGTAGATAGCAGAGAAGATAATAAGAAGCATTGTAATCCGTTTGCCTAAGTATAAAGGCGAAACTGCATTCTTCGGGAGATGAAAATAGTTTCATACTCAACATCAATGTTGGTTTTCGTGCAAAGTGATTGTCCACTGCGGTTCAGAAGTTATGCTCACAAGGGGACAGACACGACAAAACAAACAGGCCCATCTGTTATGTGACACGACTAAAATATGTACCGCTGCTCTGTTATTGGCTAACTCTGTATTTGGTTGTTTGTACGCCCTGCCGTTAAGGTATCTACCAGATTAAATAGCGATTACACTGCATTTCAAATTATTTAATGTTTACACACATGAATCACAAACTGCAACAAAAACAGTGCTTTTGAAACAATCAAACACCACAATGAATTGTTTGGTGATGCTATATTTGACGGCTTTACGGGAATACCAACATGACAAACTATCTACTAGGCTGAATTATGATAATTTAATCATTAGAATGTAATTTATATAGGCCTAGTAGTACATACATACAAACGTTAATGAAATATAGAATTTAATATGCAAAAAAACCAGTCTCAACTTTGATTGCAGCTGTCGGCTTCAGAGGTACGTCAGCCCGTATAGCCACTGTTCACCACATCACATGGAAAATGACCCAAAGCCAGACCTGGTTGCTTTAGTGCATCAAAGAATTAGTTTTGTGATAAAACTAGTGATGGAATACCAATGTTTGAAATGGTGTCATACTGCAGAATGATAAGCAGACAAATTGCCCTGTGGTACGGACAGTAAACAAAGCTTCAAACCACCATCACCAGCCCCAATCAAACTAACATGTTCGAGAGCCTCTCTGTACAGCAAAAAAAGTCCCCCCCCCCCCTTTTATGGAAACCAAAAGTTCAAAAATATTCACCACTGAATCCTGACATAAGCAAACTGTAACCTTTCACATCTTCACACTATGTTCAATGACTTCAAATTCTGTACGTTATGCTGTCCCGCAGAACCTAATAAGGTCCCTTCTGCTTGCCTGTGGTGAAACCAATTCGTCTGATAGTCAACGGTTTTGTCCGGGATGTTAGATACGTCTAATTCTTGTCTGACTACTCAGTTTCTGATACAGCCTGTTCTCCTGTAACCTGCACAAGTCCTTAAGGACCCCATTTCAGTTCGGCTCCCCTGCTGAAGATTACCGACATCTGGGATATTGCGCCGTGTAGTCTGGTAGAAATTTACCGACGTTTCAGAGGTGCTTACTGCCTATATTACCAGACTAGGGCAGTAAGCACCTCTGAAACATCGGTCAATTTCTACCAGACTACACGGTGCAACATACCAGAAGACAAGTCATCTTCAATAATCGTCACCGTGAGAGCCTAAACTCTCAGTTCTCCTGCTGATTTAAAATGTAGAGCGAAATTCAACCATGCGCTCCTCTGATATGACACTGTGCGCCAGGTACAGTTACGATCTGGACCCAGCAACCATTGCCTGTTTTTGTTCACCACACCTACCATTCACCTTGACTTGACAACTCTTAAATCCCATGTGGGGAACCTTGAACGAGGAGTTGTATTGTCTGTCTGTTTTACCATGGCAATCGCGTGGTCTGGCGGTTAAGGCCACCCTTCGCACTGTCACACACCACCTTGAAATCATCGCACTTCTGCAACGAGATTTATACAACCAACAAACCTAGACCCGTGTCCCTTGCGCATTGCAGTATTAGGTATCTCGTTAATAACTAATTCTGTTAAGAAAATTATTAAGCAACGTGTGATCCTGTCTATAACAGTAAGTTAGAAGAATTTTTAATAAAATTACGTGGTGAAGTTTCGATAAATTTTCCTCATAACCCTGAGGCCCGCGAGTCGATACGCAAGGATAAACGTGGCTTTAGGAGTTGAAACAGTTCAAGACCCGTGCAGTAAACGCAAGCCATTTGTCCACAGTGCGTACATCAACCGACAACACATCTCACTTAGACTAAGGATGTTCTAGGTTCGAATCTTCAGTCATTCCGAAAGATATTTTCCGTGATTGTTCTAGAGTCTGTGGAAAATCCACGAAGTCCTTTCCCGTAGCATCTTTCAGTTCACCTTAATCAACGCTAAAAACCATTCGGCAGAAGTCCGAGTTCTATGTGAGCTCGCGAAGTAAAAGGACACCACTCCTGAGACATGCAGGTAGTACGCCACCGCGGCCTTCAATCTGACCAGCATTCTTTTCTTACACTGAAACCAATGACCGAATTCAAGGTAACACGAAGAGCTGTTCCCAATTGTTCAATTCTCGGGCATTTCTGAACAGATCCCAAGCAATGGATACTGCCACAATGCACCTCGCTGTAGCACCTGGAACCCCCTTTGCTAGT